TTGTGACTGCATAGAATCAATTACTGATTGAATTACTGTTGACTTCTTTCGGGTTCATTCAAACTCATACATCGGTTTGTTCAGTGCTCATCGAACAGATGAGAAGTGTTCCTCATTCCGTGTAATAGATTCCCTTTCATACTTGCAACTTTATATTAATCGTCTCCTGTTTGTGGGTGTGAGCGTTTTTTTTAAATTTCTGATCGGAACTGACCAATGATCTTCATAACTTTCACTATGTCAGTAATATTCGTTGCAATGTATATATCCTGTGCAGCTGAATCAAATCAACATCCCTATATGGGATCGGATCTCAATGATTATAAATCCTGAGGAATTCTTATGTTTTGAAAGGCTGTGCATCGTGTATCTTTATGAAATTTATATTTTGGTAACCTCGTCTAGATTACTAGCTGGCTGATATTCTAGCCTGTCCTAAGCCCTGATAGAAAAGGGAGTTTGTAGTGTCAGCCTAGTGACCCTACACCACAAAACCAATCAAATTGCTACATGAACGTCACCACACATGTAAAATAATAAATGTACAAAGTAAATGCAATACAAATTTATGAAAGCAAGAATAACAGTTAGTAAATGGAATGTTCATACAATGTACACTTCCGGAAGGGATCTTCAGGTAGTCAAAGAAATAAGAAGACATGGTACAGAAGTGCTCAAAATCTTTGAGAGCAGATGCAATGGATGTGAATTGCCCCAATTTGCAATTGGTGAGTCAATAATCGAATACGATCACCCAGACGACAACGATGAGCACACTGAAGCAGTGAGTGGATGCCATGATGTCACTAGTGGCAGAAAAGCCTTGATGCAGTGGAAACTAATTTCGTTCGGGATGATGACAGCACGATACAACTGACAAGCTTCGAAGAAATGTTAAAATTTATCCAATGCTACACACACTACCACAAACAATGAGGAACAAGTGATAAAGGAAGGATCTTTCAAACAGCTACAAAAAGTAGTAGACAGCATTCCAAATAGAGAAGTGAAAATCCTAATGGGCGACATGAATGCCAGTCAGATTGAGAGCAGATAATTCAAGAACAGAAAACATCATGAGTTGAAAGTCTTTTGAAGAATTGAATGATAAAGAAAAACTATTCGTAGACTTTTGCACTTTTAGTGAAGTGGTGATTGGAAACAGTGTGTAAAGTACAAGGATATACACAAAAAGTAACATGGATTTCTATTGAAAGGCACACGGAAATCAGATAGTTTCCATCTCAAAATTGGTCTAAGAAGTGTGGACGGGCAGGCTGGAGCCAAAGTCTAGAAGGTGAACAAATGTGGGCTCAGACTATCATCTAATTTGGGGACCTTTAAGGCGGAGACGAAATCCTTCACATCAGCTGGAAACAAGCCACAATTCAAGCTCATAATTCTGAAGGTGAAGCACGAAACTATAAGGGATGCCTTCAAAACAGATATCACATCAAAGTAAAAGACATTACTTTGCATCACTAAGAACAACTGCGTGGAAGGACATTGGAATTAACTCTTTGAAGGTGATATCCAAGAAAATGTATACAACTTTCCTAAGAAGAAAGAAAAGACATGACAAGAAATGGCACTCAGATGGCAAATGGAGGCTAATCCAGGGGAGGATGGTGATGAAAAAGAAGATAACTCAGTGCAAAGATGGACAACGAAAGGTGAAGCTTAGTTTCATGTACACTGCACTGAACAAAAAAGTGAAGAAAATTGGCAACAGACAACAGAAAATTCTGCAACATACTGACCTGCAAATGAAGTAATACTGACAGCACTCAGGTAAAAGTCACCTCAGAACACTACATCAGACAACCACTTTTCCATCTGGAAACAGATCAAGGCAGGTAAAACCCATAGAAGATGTCCAGAGGAACCTAACTGCATAGAAGGTGAGACAAAGAAAACAGTCTCTCTATAACGTCAAAGGACTGTTGAAACAACTATCACCTGCAACTCAACAAAAACATACCACAGTTAGCAGTAAGTACGGAACAGCCTATGAACACTAGTCATTTAAAGGAATTAGAAATTCACAATGCGATGAAGCGACTAGAGTCAAGGAGGGTAGCAGGGCGTTATGAAATTCCCCTGAAGAACTGAAAACGAACCCAGGGACTGCAGCACATGTGCTCACGGCATTATTGCAAAAGATTTAGAAAAAGGGAAGTTTGACTAATGATTCGATATAAGACTAGTTACTTTGTCAGAGTTATAAAAAGGAGATGTAAGCATATGCAAGTACCAGCATACCAAAATGCTCTTGTCTTTGCCAAGTAAAATTCATAGTCCGGTCAATTACAAGAGACTAGAAATCCACTCCACCAACAGTTAGCAGCTCAGTTGAGATAGACGTTTTTGTGTGCTGCAGAAATTCCACAACCAAGCAGTATCTTCGAAATAGATTCAGAATGACATTCATGTTTTGGAATCAGTGATGTAGGTATGAATTGTGATGAGGGTTTACATGACACCGACGCAGTCAATGGATATCAGGGATTTAATTTAGTAACGTCGAAAATTTGTGCATCAACACCATATGAGAATATTCTTCAGGTTATCGAGTAAATGTAGAGCAGGCACGAAAATAAACATTCCAGTCTTTTCCTTTAGTACTCACTAATTAGGATATGTCGAGGTTTCGAATGATGTCATGTTACTGAAAACCAATTGAGAAAGTAGGAAGACCAGATGGAATTCCACTGGAAAACAGTGTAAGTGGGACTAAAATACACAGAGGATTGCATCGCGTGAATAGTGAGAAAGATTGAGAACAACTGGCTGCTTGTGAGATTAGCGAGGTAAAGAGAGGTAGACTTTCGAAAATTATAGCACGGAATCGTGCTGCACACGTAACAAGGAAAATATGAAGATGTGTCAGCCTCGAGAGACTAATAAAAGCCATTTAGGAAGAACTCGAAAATTGACAGGCGAAAAGTAACACACTTGCTAAAGAAGCAGGTAGAGAAGACAGAAATCCAGGTACACATAGAGAGGACGGGCGTGTGTGATTTCATGCTGGATAAGTAAAGAGCGTGACCTCCTTCAAATGTATTCACTTGATAGTGATAGGTGATGCTATTTGTTGCTGTTGGCTGGTCGGTTATCTTCATCACGCTCGTAGCCGAATTCTATCTTTGCTGCCTGCTTCTTTAGCAAGTGTGTTACTTTTCGCCTGTCAATATTCGAGTTCTTCCTAAATGGCTTTTATTAGTCTCTCGAGGCTGACACATCTTCATATTTTCCTTGTTACGTGTGCAGCACGATTCCGTGTTATAATTTTCGAAAGTCTACCTCTCTTTACCTCGCTAATCTCACAAGCAGCCAGTTGTTCTCAATCTTTCTCACTATTCACGCGATGCAATCCTCTGTGTATTTTAGTCCCACTTACACTGTTTTCCAGTGGAATTCCATCTGGTCTTCCTACTTTCTCAATTGGTTTTCAGTAACATGACATCATTCGAAACCTCGACATATCCTAATTAGTGAGTACTAAAGGAAAAGACTGGAATGTTTATTTTCGTGCCTGCTCTACATTTACTCGATAACCTGAAGAATATTCTCATATGGTGTTGATGCACAAATTTTCGACGTTACTAAATTAAATCCCTGATATCCATTGACTGCGTCGGTGCTACATACCGAATCAATGATATTGGGAATTCGTCTTCCATAAGTGTTTGTATTCAATGACTATGATCACATAGTTGGCAGGAAATCTCTAAATTGTACTGCACTACTGTGGATCGACGAGTGCAGAACATCTTTATTATCGCTGTATAAATTCCATCTAAATTTACTTATACTTAAACTAAAAAATAACACTGACTAAACTATCACCCATAAAATGATCTTAATAACTGTACATTAATAAATCAACGCTTGTGTTAAAATAAACTCCAAGGTTATTCTGTCTTCTAGTTTACTGCTTCCCTGGCAAAATTCTTAGTTGTATGAATGACTGCGGAATTGATCTACCATAAGCATAGGTCACGTTGTAATCTGTGGAGTAGAATTTAACGTCTTTATGCTTTAAAGTGCTCACATTTTCTGTTGGTATTTCAAAAGACAACTGGATTTATTATGACTTTGAACTTATTTTAAAATAGAAGTCGATATAATCATTAGAGAAAGAGATTTGATGAATATACCACAATTTGAATAGTTCCTGATGGATTCCAAAATTTGGAAAGCACAATATTAGTCGAAACAGAAACGATGTCTAGTATATATCTCCTCTGTGGATGCTTGCTTCACATACTCGTTCTCAATTAGAATCAACAACCAGATTGGCGAGAACACAGTAAATACACTCACGACGCGTAGAACCGTGGAATATATTAGTAAACTTGTAGCTGGCAAACAAAACGTTTCACTGAATAATCTGTCTGGCGTGGTGCTTTATTATCTCTAGTGACTGTGCTGTACTAATTTGGTATGTTTCATTATATCGGATAAGCTCAATTGTGCGTCTTTGAAATAAGTTAATAGGTGAGTCCACAACAAATCACAGGTATCCAGAAGGATACAAACAAGATATATTGTGTGAAATTGCAGAAAATTTGTACAGGACGTAAATATTACAACTGAAGTGAGGTTTTCCATACTCTCAGAGGTACACTCATGACTACATTTTGAAATCACGATAAGGTGTGACCACAAGTGAAGCTGTACAGTCCCTAATCAATAAACTTCCGTAAATAAAACTGAAAAAGAAAACAATACGAAAGTGGCTAACATTTATCAAGGTTTAATTCAACACTTAACAATATAATGATACGTGTCACATCAGTGTAACACTCTCCAAATCACAAGCAAGTGAAACTCCACACATCAGATCTACTCCCACTTCTTCTAATCCTTCTCTTCCTTCTCGTCCTTATCATCATCGTCCTTCTCATCTTCATCTTCTTCTTTCTCTTCCTTACCATCCTCATCCTTTTCACTCTTTCCCTTCTGTTTCTTCGGCTTTCTTTTGTCCTTCTTTCCCTTCATCCTATCCTCATCCTTCTTCTCTTTCTCCTCTCCTCCTTCTCTTCCTTTTCCTTTTTCTTTTCTTTCACTTTCTTGTCGTCCTTCTTTGCCTTTACCACTTTCGACTTCTTCTCGCCCTTCTCTGCTTTACCCTTCTTAACATCCTTCTTTACCTTAGCCTTTTCAGCCCTCTTTTCTGCAACCTTCTTCTCACTCTTCTCTTCCTTCTGCTTCTTTACTTCCTTTTTTTCTGCAACCTTCTTCTCACCCTCCTCCTTCCTAACCTTCTTGTCACGCTTTTCTTCTGTCACCTTTTCCTCGCTCTTCTCTTCTTTCTCCTTCTTTACACCCTGCTCTTCTTTCGCCTTCTTCTCACCTTCATCTTTCTTAACCTCCTCTCCGCCCTTTCCATCTGTAACCTTCTTCTCGCTCTTCTCCTCCTCCGTCTTCTTCACACCCTTCCCTTCTGGCACCTTCACCACATCCTTCTCTTCCTTGGCGTCCGTCTTTGCAGCAGTCTTCCCAGCAGTTTTACTTGCATTCGGGAATTTCACAGTCATTGAAATTGGAAAAAGAACAAAAATCGCGATAAATACAAATACATGCATTCGTTACACATCGAGATAATTTAGCATGAAGAATAGGTAATGCACTCAAATTTAGCCTTCAGAACCCCCAATGGGGATTTTTAAAAAACCCTGGAAAAAGATTACACGTGAATGAATGACTGTCTGTTCTGCAATCAGCAATATTCAATTCACCATGGTTGATATTAAGAAGCATCTGTACAGTGCATATATTTCCATCAGAATATCTGAATCATTAATGAACGAAAGTTGTAGCAAACAGTGAGGATAGTGAGTGTATTGTTTGTTGATTGCGACAATTTTGCCATAGAAATGTATCCCACTCCGTGATCACCAATCGTATCCTCCTCTACTGGAAATATCGCTTTTTACGGTTGGAATCAGCATTGACCTGACGAACACTGAACGCTGTGCCATCAGTTCATCACAGATATTCTAATCAAAACAATAGGTGACTTCATATGACGAAGTCATCTTTACAAAAACTAAGGCACACTTGAATCAATAAGTGCATTACTGCATTTTGTCAATATAGAGTTGCATTTATTAGATGAATGCAGCACGATTGATGAACATCCGGTGAGTCACATTGTGAAGAATGATCACTCACAATAGGAAAGATGAGTAGACACTTGATAATGTTCTGTTGAGGATAGGTGAGGTGGAGAGGATTTCAGTAGGTGATTCTGATGGGAATTACTATCGAAATAAGTGTGTGTATGCGTGCACTGATAAACTGTCAAATAGACAGACAGCCTCTTTATATACTCAATTTGTAATACATATATTGGCAGTTGATCCGAAGAAACCTCCTATTATTTATTTATCTGATAAGTCATGGTAGTTTCAGTCAGAGCTGAGCAGATAACTGTGAGACTGAATTCTAAGGTGGCACTAACAACCATTCAGTACTTATCTAGCCCCAGTACACATCTTTGCATATTGTCAACTGTACTTGTCAGTATCCATATGTCCTATCACTTGAATCCATCTCCTACAGGTACTTCGGTAACAAGTCAAAACATTCCACTATGTGAATACACGGTTGTAATTCCCCCTGATTCCTTCGGGTTCACCTATTCCTAGTCTGATGATCCGTTGCCATTTGATATCATGCCTGATTTTTAGCAACCATTTTTATGTATGCAAGCTTGAATGTGTAAATTAAAAAAAAGCTAAAAAAACATAAAAACTTCATTGAGAAGCAAATAATACAGTGAAAGAAACAAAAATATTTTTTTTTAAACCCACAATTCATGTGACTCACCTTCTTCGTCATAATATGCTGACGGTTCCTCAGCTTTCTTAACAGGCTGCATTTCGACAAGGTGTGGCACCAGAACACAAGCCATCATGATGCACAACATTGACAAGTGTGTCATCCCTATGAGTCTGAAAATACAAATAAATAATATCAGGGAACATTTCAGATTTGAGTATAGGAGGAAAAATGAGCACAATTTAGCAGATATATATCAAGTTGATTGGAGTTGAAACTGTTGCAGATAAAAGGAAATCGGCATGATACTGCTTTACATTTCACCTTGAGTCTACCAACCACAAGTGGCGAAATGACATAGAGATGAGTATATGCATATGTGAATTTGTGAAATGATATTCAGTTGATGTGGTAGGTGAGATGGGTGTCAGAATGAAGTTTGAAGTTCAGATTTTTCAACTTACAAGTTGTCTGTCAATAACTGGTGAGCTGAATAGTTTTTCATGCATGCATTTATTTATATATCCATGTAAACGTGGGTTAGATTTACGAGTAACGAGTTGAGTGGTCGCCTTTGTCACTTAAATCAATTCTGTCTGTCAGCGTGTTGGCAAATACTGATGAATCTTGTGATCAGATCAGATCATTAATTAGGACTGACTGATCTCGATGAATACTTTGTTGATTGAAGTTCAAGAGAATTTGATTAATTATCCAACCATACATCTAACCTATAAACTATTATTTTACCTATACGTTGGCTGTTTATTCATGCATTTTTCGAACTAAGCTGGATGATTTGACTGCGAAGATTTGATTGAATGGATTTCACTCGGAAAGAAAAGTATTTTAGCGCTGACATGATGAAGTCTTACCTTCTACATCAAGACATTCTGGTGTAACCCAACCCTTACTCCTACAATTTGTTAACTTTCGTATTCTGCCTATTATTCTCTATTGCTCCTCCTTAGTCTTTCCTGGGCTATTGAAGAAAGACTATACCTTATTACGTGGGATGTTAAAGGTTGTCAGCAGGGTAAGCAGTTTGCCACTTAGCCAGCTTGTTAATATTCTGGTGGACAGGCACATGGACTTATGTGAAAAATGGGCGAAATCCATCTTATCTGACTCACAACACCCTCTACATTCACAACTCTCCCCATGTATCTCTTCAGGGAAAACCAGAAGCCTATATAGGAAACTATATGCCCGCACTAGTAAGTACAAAAACTCATCCATACCCTACCTAGCCCGTGTTATGTGCGATAAAGAATGCATCAGGCATGAAACCTTTAACTTATTAAATAGTCAGTAGAACCAATGGATCTCGTCTTTCCAACTCACATCATTTATAGGTACAACGTTTTCTCGCTCTTTCATTCTGTATTTATTTTTGTTATGTGCTGCTTTGTTTCTCTCTTCCTTGCAAACTCTACTTAAAACATTCTTGTTCGTTCTTTCACACTCTGTATATCTCGACCATTTTGCTATCGCTTACGCCAGTAAATATGCTAGTAGTATCTTATTTTCTAACACCTTCAAACACTCTGTTTAATTTTGGCTTTGCTACCGACATGCTAATATATTGTTGTCAAAACTGACTGCGATAACTTTATTCTATGTAGAACTATATTTATTGTTAATGCACTAACTGGATGCAATGTTGTAGTAAAATGCTGAGAATTCCATTCTGTATCACAAGTACTGATTTGGAATAAAGCTTATCTTATCTTATCTTTAAGTTGAATTTTTTGAACTGTCTATTTTCTTGCTACATCAGATTTCACTGAATACAAGAGATATGGTTGATTTGGAAGTGTCCAATTTACAGCTAAGGAAACTTTCCATTAATTTTGCATCACGATGTTGTAAAGGTGATGTAAAGAGAATATGTTTAGTTTGCATATGGAAATGAACTAGACCAACGAGATAATCAGCATGAGCGAAAACGATCACAATCATGAGGATTTAAATTTGCTGTGATATTCCTTAGTCAAAATTCTTCATTGAATTTTGCTTTTTTGGGCTAGTACGCCTTCTATTAATTCATGTTATGAATACACTTATTGTTTAGGCATTTTATGAAATGAGAGGTAGTCTGACCTATCGACAGTCAGTCGAAGTGGCAGGCATGAATCCTATTAAAAATATTTAAAAAATGTAATTCTTTCCTGAATGTGTATATAGAAACGGCGTACTGTTCATCAGAATTTTGAAAATCCCAGTAATAATTCCATTTTTTTATTTTTGATTATAGCTTGGCTCCACACCGTATTTTTGGTACAAGTATGTGATATCAGAGTCCAAAATTTCGCAGGCCGATCATTGATATCAGGTGCGCATCGGCAGAGGATCGAATTTCGGACCATGTGCATGTATGGCGAGCGTCCTAACCGCTGCGCCACCGACGCAGCACTGTTATCACTTATAGAAAAGAATCCTTAACGGACAGGACACCGTTTCAGTAATCATGAAATTTCCCAAAATTAGTAGAGTTGGAGTTCTTGTTTGATGGGATTCAGCTTGTTTGCTAATAGTGGAAGTCGGATATGCTTTGAAGATATTCGGAATCGTTGTGATTGACAGTTTAATTTCAATGTTCAATGTGTATACTATGATAAATTTCAGGTATTCATTTTTCTCTATATGATGGTGACAATCAGGGTTCAGTGATTGCACTTCCCCCAAGCTCTCATTTTCTCTTCATACGAATCGCTTCATGTCAGCCTTGAAGCCTCATCCGAATCACCGCTTCCTATTCCAGGTTCAGTTGAGTGATGAAATGGTGCGCTGTGTCACCAGTCAGGATGAATGATATATCTTCGTTTACATGAAAATAATTGTTGGATAATAGATTCTTGGTCACTTATTTACTACAGCTTCATACAATTTATCTTATAGCACCAAACATCTGATCTTCAGCATCGAGGCAGCAAATGCAGTTTTTGATGAAAATATGCAGCTATCTGTTATAAATGTTTCCTTGACACACTGTGCAAGCCTATGAACTATAAACCACAGCTCCTCGATCTTGTATTAGTGTTGTAAACCTGAATATTTGTTTTTATGCTGATTGCGAAGTAAATCAAATTATTACAGAGTAAGATAACATGAGGTGTATTTGAGTGTAGAATCATCATTCTGAGCTAATATTTGTGTAAATGTATTAAAATGCGTTCAAGGGTCAATGAATGTTTCGAGGTCAACAAATACTGACTAACGTAATGGAATTAGACTGCTGAAAAGAACATGACAATCTACTGATTGACAACTTTGATTTATGTCATATTGTAGATTACTTCTCAGATAACTTGATATTTCATGCACATTTATATTCATATACATATGAGTCTGTAAAACCAAATACAAATCACCAGTAATCTCAACATAACGGGTGTTCTAAAGAACATCATTCACACTTCTCTTTCAAATCATTGCCTTATTTCATTCTTACACCCTTCTCATATAGTTCAGTTCACCATCTATCTCATAACCTAAGTCACGTAATCACATACTTCACATATTCATGGACATGGAACTCAGTTCCGTACATGGCCAAATGAGTCACAATGGATTTACCCCAATACATTACTCTGTGTAGTGTTGATTTGAGCAGGAAAATAAGGCAAAAATAACTGAACATACCCCCCAATCACTCCAGCAACAATTATCATGATCATCATTCTGATCCACTTTCTATTTGGGCTTTTACTGATCACTGTAATCTTACATAATTTATTTGTTTTAACAGCTC